TGAGCACAGAAGACCCAATTACACATCCTCTCTCAATCCTACTGCTTACTGGGTGGCCTTGGTCAAATCATTCTCTCTTAAGATCCTTACAAGGAAAAACTGAAATAAGCCACCCTGAGCGAGAAGGGCAGGATACACATGTGAAAACAGCCTCTTAGGCCACATCTGCACAGGAGCTTCTCACGGAAATGGGAGCAGCAATAACTTCCCCTCCTCCAAATCAGCACACACTGTGCACTGCTAAATTGTAGTTTCCAGACATCACTCATCTGGGTCTAACTAGACATAACAGAAGGGCTATGGCTCAATGGAAGAGCCTCTGCTTTGCATGCAGAAGGTTCCAGGTTCAATCCCCAGCATCTCCAGTTAAAAGGACTAGGTAGTAAATGATGTGAAGGAGCTCTGCCAGAGAACCTGGAGAACTGCTGCCAACCTGAGTAGGCTATACTGACCTTGATGGACCAAAGGTCTGGTTCGCTATAAGGTAGCTTCATGTGTGCATCAGAATGCGAGCTATACCAAATAGATATAAAAGTCAGCATGTGCACATGCATAATTTAAAGCAGAGGAACAACAGGCTGTAGCAGTTTTATTATGCCCAGTCTTTCCTCCACATACACCTCCTCAACTCCAAATTGCCTCACCCCTACCGTTTTTCTCCTGGTATAATTTATTTCTAGTCTCTGAGCCCAGTGAGGACAAAAGTACCTGAGGGAAGGGCATTCTGGGTGAAGAGAGAAACCAAGCAGAGAAAGGGCTCAGCCCTTTCTTCCTGTGCACATCCTCCAGGAAGAAGGCTTCATTTCCAATCTGTTCAGTAACATAGCATTTTCTAACACACTTGATAGCAATAGATGCTTTTCTGGCACATATCTAACCATCCATGGATTTCACAGATCAGGACTTTTCCACGCCCCCCTCCTCCTGCAGGCCACTGAGCCCTCTGACAAGTTCCTGCAAGTCAGCAGATCTTTGGGACAGCACAGGGGGCAAAACAGGGACCTGCAGCAGGAGGGAATAATAGGCAGAAATCACCACCCCCTCTTCCACAAAGATAAGTGCCACTGTTAGAGGAATTTCACAGTTGGATGCAGGTCTCTATGTCTAACCCAGCCACAATGTGGCAGTCAAGCATGTTCTTATTGGATTTATTACATAATAGGCCTTTCCACATGGACTTGTCCCACATGTTGAGGTGTGCATCTCATTCTCCAAATTCAGCCTACTGTGTGACATCAGATTACACGTAATGACATAGGTCTTAATAAGATCAGGAAAATCCCATGGTAAAGACTTTGAGGGAGTCTTACTCCCACCACAGCGATAAAACAATAAATCAAGATTTCAGCTCAGTCACAGGCTGCATCCACATATTATTGGATTCGGTACTGTCCTTGCTCTAGAGCAATTAGTCGCTATAGGACTGCCTTATTCACAGAGGAAAATCGGCTGCAAATTACTGCTACAGCACAAGGAAAAGTCAATATCCAGCAACATGTGGAAGCAACCGAGTTCAGTACCCACACTTCATTCAACTGGGTGCTTTGAAGTCTCCCCTCCTCTTGCGAACCAGTCGGTCCACAATCAAAACGCTTCTGTGCAACAAGACATTTATTTATTAATTTAAGGTACTGCTATGCCACCTGTCTTCCCGAAAAGGGCTTCCCGGAAATCCCAGAACTGTAACAGCCAATCAATTTTAATTATAGCAGGCAGCCTTCGGCTAGACATCCAGAAGCACAGGAAGGGAGAAAATGCAGCAATGCCGCTTAAAAACTTCAGCATAAGGAGATTGCCAATCCTTCCCAAAGGACCCGCCTCACCCATGTATGGGAGCCCCCACTCATTGCGAAGGAAGGGTGTTAAAGAGAACTGGGTCTGTTCTGGTCTCCTCGCTGCACGTGCACTTAGAAAACATCACGTCAACGCGGCGGGCTTTGCTGCTCGGACCCTCGACTCCCCTGGGCCAGGCCTTGTCCTCCTGAAAGGGTCCCTGGCCGAATTGAAAAGACACACTTGAGAGCTTGACAAGTCCTGGGGAGGGAAGCATGAGAGGAAGCCGCTTCGTATGATGAAGCGCCAAAGCCCTTCTACCTGCCAAGGGAGGCCTGGAGCTTTTCCGAACCAGGCTCCGTGGAGCCCGCGTTTCTTAGCCCCTAAGCGCCATACCTGCTGCTGCTTCATCTCCCTTGGGGGCCCGATGACCGCGGTTCCTCCCGGCGCTTCTCCTGTTACTACAACAACCAACAAGCAACCGCCCCTCCCTTCTCCAAGGCGCCTCTACGCAAGCGCCGCCTCTCCCGCTCCCGCCCGAGGCTCAGCTGCTCGCGCGTGCGCAACTACAGCCCACCCACTTCCAGTTTGCCGTCTTTTGCCTCTTCTAACATGGTGCCCTGAACAAATCACAGCGGACCGAGGAGACCGCGCTACAAGCTCCTCCTCATTCGTCCTCCCCTTTCGAAGTTGACGTCACAACGCCTTAGAAAGGGTTAGAGCGCTTGATTGGCACATTCGACTATCCACCCAGGAGGCGCGGAGGAGAGGAATAGAGATGAACGTCCAATCAGAGGAGAGACCAAGTCTGACAGCTGACCACTGAGTTGCGAGGGGCGGGGTTGCTGCGCCTCGGACTGGAGACGAGGTAAGAAAGCTGCTGCTGCGGCTGAGGACCAGGTAGGGTAATGCAGGATTGGGTACCTATGGATAGGTGAGGTGGGGTCGAGGGAAGGTAGTGGTGACGATCGCGTACGATTTATGCAGGGTGATTCTGGAAGCATACTGCGGTGTAGGAGCTGAATGGGAGATGCACCGTTTGCGAAAAGTGTAGTTATTTAAGCGGGTATTAAGTATAAGGACATTCATACGAAAATGCCAATGGTGAACAGTGAAGTCTTCTTTTTCTAAGACATTGCAATTGTTTCTGCTATAAGTTACGGGTTTAGGGTGTGAACTGATTGATCAGGGTAGATGTGCAACCAGACCTTACTCGGAAGTAAGCCCGGTGAGGCTTACTTCCCAGATAGATTTGGGCACAGGATCGTATCCTATGGTGGTGTGGTGATTGTCGTCTTTGGAGGGATCATCCTTTACACCAGTATCTCTGTGGATATTGTGTGTTGGATTTCTACCCTTGCCTTCATTAAGGAATGCTATATGATGAACTGGGGATTCCCTAAAGGCAAGCTGTGTCCCATATTCCCTGGTGTAAGAGGAAATGTTACAAGGTATAAGTGAAAGAGGGTGCACATGAATTATGATGCATGATTGCACAAATTCTAGACATTGCCTTTGTTCCCATGAGCAGGTTTTGTGGTGCCACAGCAAGATGAGCCGATTTCTGAATGTGCTCCGTAGCTGGCTAGTTATGGTGTCCATCATTGCCATGGGAAACACATTGCAAAGCTTCAGAGATCACAGCTTCCTCTCTGAGAAACTGTACACTGGCAAACCAAGCCTTGGTAAGGTGCACAGGTTGTCATATTTGCACTGCTGGAAGCATCGTAATCTTTAGTCTCTGTTCTGTATCTTGCCTCGATTTCTAGAAATACTTATTTAAATCTTAAATGTCATTCTCAGTTGTTGTTCCCTTTTTGCCTCATACCTGCCACTGAAACACACAAAGTAGCCAGCATTATTTCTCCTTCATCAATGACAGCAAAAGGCCACAACATGCATTACAGTCTCAGCTGGCATTAGAGTCAGTATTGTCTTTACTGTTTTTGCAACCAGAGTCATAAACAGCAAACATGACTCGGCTGGGAAACCCTGGTCACCTCCATGCTATGACCTTCTTGTGCTGCTGAAAGATTTCCCGAGCTGACTGCAAGTGGAATTGAAATGAGAGTTCCACATCTCACTTAATATAACATCATGTTGCCCATATCCAACAAGATCCTACTATAGTAACATGTTTTGTTAAGCAAAAATAAACACAAGTCCTGTAGCCTTTTAAAAGCTATCACATTTTAATACTAGCATAAGCTGTTCAGCAAATCTCCCACTTCTCCCAAAAAGTTATCTATTTAAATTGTTACTTCTGCTGCTCCATGTGTAATTATTTACTTTTCATTCTCCAGGGCAAGTCCTGAATGGATCTTTAATCAGTTCCTTTTCTGGGCTGTGGTGGAAATCTTTAATCTTTATTTTTCCCTTTGCAGCCAAATTGATTGTTCACTAATTTTATTTTTTGAACTGCCACAAGTGTGCAACTACAATAATAAAAGTTAGTAATCTGTAAAAAATAAAAATAGTTAAAGCCCAAGGGCTAATCAAGCTTCTATGGAACAAGCAGGAAGTAGTTAATTAGGGTGAGAAATGGAAGCGGCTTTAAAACAAGAGGAAAATTTAAAGGAACAAAAGCGTTGATTTTGTCAGTGCACATCTGCTGTTGCAACTGTTACTGCATTAAAAATGAGTGGGTGGGATGCTGGAGTGATATAGGCCGACATCATCTAGATTCTTTATAGAAACTAAAACAACAACAGATTTCTATGCTAGACTAAATGGCCAGTGTGTAACTAACCCGTGTGCGTATCCCTGGCATAACCCATAACATAAAACAGATAGTTGTATTTATTTCATCATTTGTATATGAGGTGGCCCCTGATCTGGATGGCCCAGTCTCATCAGATCTTGGAAGCTAAGGACGGTTGGCCCTGATTAGTATTTGGATGGGAGACCACCAAGGAAGTCCAGGGTCACTACACAGAGGCAGGCAATAGCAAACCACCTCTGAAAATCTCTTGCCTTGAAAACCCTATGGGGTCACCACAAGTCGGCTGCAACATGACGGCACTTTCCACCACATAAGAGCTGGAGTAACAATCCACTGTTACTGTTCAGAGCATGCACGTGTAGTGTAATAATGTAGTGCAGCGTAAATGCATGCATCCACTTCAAGTGGAGAATGGGTCAAGCAGACCTTATTCCCCCCTGTACTTTTACAGTGCCTTTCTAGAGCCTCCAATCTTTCAAGCCAATTTGCAGGCACTTGTACTGAACCTGAAGATAGGAGAATTGTTCTGAGTAGATGAACAGCTCCCATCTGTGTAAAAAAAAATTCATTCAGCTATATTTTCTCCATGTAAGAAATCTCATGTGACACACTGTGGGAACAACTGTGTTAACTAAGGCCGTGTTCATACGAGCTGTTTTGGGCCGGGAGAGGGACGGATCGGGGCCGCAGCAAACAGGCACGATCCCACAGCAACATCTGGGAATCGTGCTGCGCCTGTTCCCAGCCCGTCCCCAATCCGCCCCTACCAGCCAAAACCCGCAGCAAAAAAGAACCACCGACCTAGGTGGTTCTTTACGAAAGGCCGCATCACCGCTGGCCGTGGGATCGCCGGCGCATCCCCGGCCCCTGGCCGTACTGCGCATGCTCGAGCATGCGCAGTTCGGCAGCCTCCCCCTCCCATTCGTCTCTTCCTCCCCGGCATCTGATCGTGCTGGGGAGCAACGGCGCCGCGGCTCAGGGGATCGTGGGATCCCGCCGCGGCATCTCTTTTTTGGTGCGGCTTTTAAAAGCCGCACTTTGCCCAGTGTTTTCCCTCCCATGTGGCAGGGGCCTAAGAGTCTGACAAATCCTGCCACATCAGAAGCTTAATCTCAGGACCTTTCCAGCCATTATGGCTAGAAGAAATGTGCAGCTGTCACTGAACATCCCAGATGACCTCATTTCCACAAGAGTTCCCATTGAAGGGAATCACTCCTTGGCAATATTCAAGCCACATACCAGAACTGATACAGAACTGCAGCTCCTTCCCTGTAGCAAGCACAGGTGTTTGTGATGTTTTCCTAAGAAAATGAACCCTATCATAGATAGCTATTGGACTCATCACTGCTAGGCACATTACAAGCCCCTTCTGACCATTTTCAATCTACTGCCAGCTCTTCCTGTCCTTCCTCCAAAGGTTGTACACTCATCCCCATGCAATGCTCAAGAACTGTAATACCTATGTTGTTGTCATTTTTTAAATGCCACTCCCCCTGCCCCTACCTACTTGAATTCTAAATATGTATCAATCTTGCTGGTGTTGGCTAAGCACTGGTGAACTGCCAATGACTGTGGAAACTGGAACCCTCAGGTGGGGAGCCTTCAAAACCCATTGATCTTTTAGACTTCATGACCTGTTCATGCCTGCAAGCAATGCTCCCTCTAACCTGTGGAGTCTTGTGAGCAAAAATTCTACTTTGTGAGATACTGGCATTAAAGTTGTGAGTGAGTGATTTGGCTACTGCATAAATTAGTTTGCTCTGGACCCATCCTTCCTAAGACAAAAATGTGTGAGCTGGAGGCTAAAAAACTGTGAGCTAGCTCACACTAACTCAGCTTAGAGGGAACACTAACTGCAAGTTGGCTTTCTTTTTTCCTTTCCCCCCCTTTCTTTGTGTGTGGAGAGGGAAGAGACCAGAAAAGAAGGTGCTCTGATTCAATATTTGTTTTCTCTGCACAGTAAATGGTCTCCAGGCTCGGACCTTTGGTATCTGGACCCTGCTGTCATCTGTGATTCGCTGCTACTGTGCCATTGATATCCGAAACAAGACGTATGTAAAAGGAATGCTAAATTGGAGCAGAACCCTACCTCCCCCCCCCAAAAAAAAATGTGTATAGAAACCTGCTGTGATAATTCTTTACTATTCCCTATAGGCAAATGTAGGCAACCATTGTTTCCTAACTCCCAGATCAAGCAGCTTCTGGGAAAAAGAATAACTATTATTCCTTAAAGATAGATTCAGGTGGGTAGCCATGTTCGTCTGAAGCAGCAGAACAAAGTCTGAGTCCAGTGGAACCTTTAAGACCAGAAAAGTTTTATTCGAGGTGTGAGCTTTCTTGTGCAAGGCACACTTCCTCAGATACAGACTGAAACAGAATGTAGGGCTTGAGGAAATTCTGTTTCAGTCTGTATCTAAGGAAGTGTGCTTGCATATGAAAGCTCATGCCTTGAATAAAACTTTGTTGGCCTTAAAGGTGCCGCTGGACTCAAACTTTGTTCTACTATTCCCTTGAAATGCTTTGTTAACAAAGGGTGGAAAATACACATGAAGATTTATTTATACCCCACTTTTCCCCCCATGGAGACCCAATGTAGCTTACGACATCATTCTTCCCTCTCCATTTGACCCTCACAGCAACAACCTTGCGAGGTACCTCAGGCTGAGAGAGAGTGACTGGGTCAAGGTCACACAGTGGACTTCCATGGTAGAGTGACATAGCTGGTTATTTTAAATGATGTTATATGTTTGATCTGTGGTTTGGAATCGTTAAAGAGGATTGTCCTCCTCTTGCAGATAGAAAGCCAGATATCAATTTTCCAGCAAGTTCTTTTACAAGGCTTATGGAATATTGATTCCATTAACGTGTTTGACATCAGTGGCAGCAGTTTCCAAGAAAAGTGTGGATGAACAGGCCAGACTTGCGTATTCATTTAGCTAGGCTACTTTGAAAGAGGACAGTAGGTTTGGTTTTGCATATCATAAACAGCACACTTTGGCGCTATGAGAAGAGGAGGACTTCTGCAAGAAGGCTGAAGATGAGACTGAATTACTGTCTCCATAAAGGTAAAGGTTTCCCTTGCTTGAAAGCTAGTCGAATCCAACTCTAGGGGTGGTGCTCATCTCCGTTTCTAAGCTGAAGAGCAAGCGCTGTCCGAAGACATTTCCATGGTCATGTGGCTGGCATAACTAAACGCCGAGATGCATGGAATGCTGTTACCTTCCCACCGAAGCAGTACCTATTTATCTACTTGCAATTTCTTGCTTTCAAACTTCTAGGTTAGCAGGAGCTGGGGCCAGAGAGGGGAGCTCACGCCATCATGCGGCACTAGGGTCTTGAACTGCCGAACTACAGACCTTCCGGTCTGCAGCTCAGCATCTTAACCTCTGAGCCACTACAGCCCCCACTGTCTCCATACTGAACTCTAATTAAAAGGCACCATGGGATAGATGCAGCAAGCCGAAGACTAGCACTTGCTGGATTAAGTAGGAAAGAATTTCAGAGTAGCTGATAACCTTTGTTAAAGTTTAATGGGAACATGGGGATCTTTTAAGGTATTTGAGACACATGAGCCAATGTGGTGTAATGGCCAGAGTGTGGGACTAGGGTCTGGGAGGCCCAAGAAAAAAATCCCTACTGTGTCATGGGAGCCTGTTGGGTGACCTGGGACCGGTTACACACACTAACAGCCTAACCTCTCTCACAAAGCTGTTGTGAGGATAAAATGAAGCAGAGGAAAGCAATTTAGGATGCTTTTGGTCCCCACTGGGGAAAAAAGTGGGGTAAAATAAAACTGTAGAAGATATACCTGCTCTGATTTCACTTACCAAAGCTTTCTGTAAACTAAAACAGAATACACAGACTGTCTTCTCCGATTCTGGCCATCTTTTAAACACTTTCCTCCCTAAGAACCTTTACCTATCCCTTATATTTTCACTACTCTTCCATATTCATATGTTCCCAATCCCCAGCTGTCTTGCAATAGTATACTTTCCTCTTCTGCTGTCTAGTGAAATATGTCTAAGAGTGACTGATTCATGCTGCAGTCTTATGCATACTTCCCAGGAGGTCAGTGGGATGTACTTTTGGGTAAACAGCTTTAGGTTGATGCTACAAACATAGGCATATTTAGCTGGTAGCAAATCTCACTGACATTCAGCAGTGGACATGCTTCAGATCAGGCTGGAAGACTGGCTTCTCTTGGAAATAACTATGTGACCATGTCTGAAGAGTCTTAAGACTGGGACAGGAAATGGTTTCTCTTCCCTATGTAATTCTCTAGGACATTTCTAGCTAATATGTCATGTTAGTTTGCATCATCAAGGCTGTGTTATCTTCCCAGGAAATCTTATATATCCCTTAGGGTTGAACATACACTACATGTGCTGCACCATGTGAGATCTCCCACAATTACAACTGGTCTCCAAGCGACAGTAATCAGTTCACTTGGAGAAAATGGCTGTTTTTGGAAGGTGGACTCTATGGCATTATACCCCATTGAAGTCCCTCTCCTCCCCAAACCCTGCCTTCCACAGGCTCCACCCCCAAAATCTCTAAGTATTTCCCAACCTGGAGATGGCAACCCTACTCCTGGGCCCTTGTTGTTCTGTTCCTTTGGCATTCTCAGACCATTCTTCCCGCCTTTTCTTGCCTTCCATTGCCTCAGTCCTTGCTAAAACACCCCCATTTATACAAAATCATCACGCTGGAAGGGAGAAGCCTCACAAGTAAAGCAATCCTATGCAAATATATGCAAAAATGCATAAGTTGTGGCTGAGTTGCAGCATCTAGGCTTCTTTTCACCTCACATTTGGTTGGAAAGGGAACTGAGACACAGAAAACCATCACGCAAGGGTTTTTTTAAATATAATTTTTACTTAAAACCATCATTCTTTAAATTACACATTTAAAAATACAACCTTATATTTTTCTGCTTTGCAAAGAAAAAGGACGTCAAAAAGAACAGTTTATGGTTTCAGAATGCCAGTTGCTGGCTTATAAATTATTTGCAATTCAATCCTTCCAATAGGCTTTAGTAAAATGTAGCTATTGCACTCCTTCAAAAGCATCGTGCTGTCCCCATTACCCTCTGTGCATTTGGACAGACACAATAGGTGGGAGCTTAGCTCAGGATTCTGTTCCAGACCCATCAGCCAATTCATCCTCCCTCAGCTCTGCTGGCTCAACAGGAGTAATGTGTGAAAAGCCACAAACGGCTTATTTTTATCACTGAAGCTGGCAGCGTCAACTCCATTACCCAGAGTGGCAAGGAACTGCATGCTGAGAAGGGGCTATTTGTACAGTCATCCTTCAAAGGTGAGCTACTCTTTTAAAGGAAAACCAAAACTCCAAATAATCTGTTTCCTTCCCTAGAGCTCTGCAGTGAGAAATGGTAAATTGACAGGCTTAACAAGTACTCTTTGAGCCCATAAAGATTTGATCAAGACTATAACAGGCTGTAATTGCTGTACACCATCAAGTATCTTCACAAATAAAAATACAGAAATAGTAAAGAACAATACTTTTCTTTAGCTAGTCAGACTACATAATCATAAAAGCTCTTAGTAAGTAGCAGATAAATAGAGCAGCCAGATAAAATGAACAAAGTAAATGGAACAAAAGTAAGCCCTCTTCTCTCCTTTTTTGTAGTTATCACACTTTTTTTTCCCAAATAAAGGACTAGGATAAATGTCAGTATCACCATGAAAATGATTATACGTTTGGGGAAAACATTTTCGGGTTTTTCTCACACACAAAGTAGTGCTAAGCAAAGTGGGAAAGGGAATCTTTGTTCTCAGTGAAATTGACTTAAATCACCAAGGGGGGGAGATTAAATAGTTTCCTGTTTTGTAATTTGGATATTTCGTAAACAAAAAGTGAATGTTAACTGGTTAAAATAAAAAATCCCCTCCGGGGGCTTAAAATATATATATATATATATATACATACACACACACATAGAGTCTTCTATATTATCCAACACTTTTGCTCCTGCAGGCCACATGCCTTTTGTAGACAAAGATGGAGAACTAAAATTAGTGGATTTTTATTTTTCTGCTGTATAGAATTCTGTAAAAACACAGAGCAAGATCCTTTACTTTAAAGGTGCATTCCTATAAAACACTTGTAAATGACATTGGATTCAGAGGGACTTACTTCTGAGTAAACATGCTTAGGATTGGGACTGTAAAATGCTCAGAACTTATATTCATAATTTAAGTAGATCTTGTGGAGAAGGTACAGGCCATTAAGTCACCCAGGTGGAGAAGAACCATGGCTCAGTGGCAGAGTACATGCTTTGAACAGAGAGGGTCCCAGGTTCAATTAATGATATCTGCCATTGGCAGATTTTGGGAAAGACCTTTCTCTGCCCAAGAACCTGGATAGCTGCTGCCAGTTGGAGCAGACAATACTGAGCCAGATAGACTAATGGTCTGACTCAGTATAAGGCAGTCTCATATGTTCATATATCATTAGGCAGTACTTCTTTACACAATAAACTGATGATGATGCATTCACATGTTGATCCAGTTGAAACACAAAGTATGTTTTCCAATGGCTGGATTCCAACAGATGGCTAGTCAGGTCCAAGCCATTCAGTAAACCCTTAATAAATCTATAGATGACCTATTCTACCATATTTATTACTTATCTTATGAGTTCATTTCCCATTGTTCAATTCCCATTGTTAAGAGATCATGAATCTTGGTTTTAAAATATTTGAATTAATTTCAGCTTTCAATTTAAACTGTTTTTCTTAAAGAAGGTTGAAATTTTTAAGACAATTCAATGCAATTTTATATTTAAAAATCCAAATTGGTTTGTACTATTTAGCCCAAACTTGTACTAATTGCCATTTCAGGCCACAGCTGATAGTTTAGACTGTTCAACCCATGCAGACTCTATTATCTATTTTCAACTAATTTAGACAGGCCATTAAGACTTTTCTTTTAAAAACCTGTTTAAGATTCCAAGGCTGCAATCCTAAACTCATGTACTCAGTGAGACTTCTGTGCACACATGTTTAGGATTTCAGTGCTTACCATGTGTGGTGGAATTTAGTTAGGTTTGTATTATTCTCTCTTCTATGCCAATAACGATGCTATCTAATTCTGTGTTTTCCTTCAGACATTTTAATGTACATTTGAGGTATTTAATATTGTTTTCCAATTGAGAACTCATTTGCATTTAAAAAGCAGACAACAAATGATTAGAAAATTTAAAAATACATTTGGATTAGTAGTCATCAATCTAGGGGCTGACCTGTCCGCCCTGTGGCTTGTGTATGGCAGGAGCCTGGGTCCTAAACATCTGAAGTGCCCTGCAGGCAAGAGAAGCTCTCTGTGGTTTCCAAGAGAGGCAGAAGCCAGTCCAGAATTTGGCTTTACTACTGATTACAAATATGGGCTGGCTAGCTTTCTCATTTTGCTTTCTATTCTCTACATTTCCTAATACCATGCTGGTGATGCAGAGTAATTCTCTCTTCCTGTAATCTCTGGCAGCCTGTATAACATCACACTTCTGACCTTCTTCATTGCCCTGGGCCACTTCCTCTCTGAAGTCTTTATCTATGGCACAGCAGCTGCAACAATTGGTGTCCTGGCACCGCTCATGGTGGCAAGTAAGTACAGTTTTAATAGCCTGTCCTCCTTTGGTGTTTTAGTCATTAAATTTATATATTGCTGTTTCCCCAAGGAGCTCCCCAAAGCATTTTACTGTGCAGTCCAAAGCAGTTACACCTTAGAAGGGTATAACTCTGGTTAGGATTGCACTGTTAGCCTCACAACGGCCCTGTGAGGTTAGTTAGGCTCAGTTACTTAGGGTGAAGTGATTTGCTCAAGATCTCTAGGAAGGAACTGGGGCCAGGTTTCCCCACATCCCAGTGCAACTGATATCTCTTCACCAGTATTACAGTAGCATCATCGCACGAAGGAGAATGTTCTCCACTTTTCCCTCTCATTTTCTGTCTTTCTCAGGTTTCTCCATCCTAGGCATGCTTATTGGGTTGCAGTACCTAGAAGTGGAAGCAGCATCACAGAATAAGAAACGGAACTGAAGCTACATCTCCTGTACATGTTGTGCATCTGCCTTCCGGCCATCTTCAAGAGTCCATGATCTTCAAGTGTTACATTCCTGACTTTTCCTCCTCACTCTGTAGTCTAATAATCAGATCATTTTTGGCTTTGGACTTTTCCATCAGTCATCTCTTCATTTTCAGTTGATTTTGATCTGAGCAGGCAACACTTGATCTGTGACCATTGGCCGAAGGCCAGACCTGAACAGCTGTTCCAAGCTAGATAAGGGTTTCCCTGATGGAGGCCACTGTCTTAAAGCATCTTCAGTTTTGGTGGTGGAAAGGGACCTCTCCGTAATCGTGCCAAGGACTGGTAATAGATTCTCTCTCTGGGGCATCCAGCATAGAAAAAATGTAGTACTGCCAAAGATCCACTGGATATTGTTCTAGAAAGACAGCACTAACTGTACTTTTGATGGCACGTAGTATGCCTGTATGCATGATTTGTAATAAACAAGGGAAAATCGTGCAAAGCTGCAGCTTCTTTTTATGCGCTGGGGAGAGTGCAAGATGCTGGATTGGCTTTCGCACACTTTTGAATCCCAAAGTGACTTTTGAATCCCAAAGAAAAAGCCGTTCTTTGCACTGGTATACACTGAGGATTGGAATAACTTATTGTCCCTCAGCTGTCTTTTCTGGTTCCAGTTCCCCTTTTTTACTAGTGTAGCAAGTGTTTTCTGTGCAGTCTCTCCTTAACACACCAAATCCGGGTATGAATAGGAGCCTATTGTAGTGCTCTCAGCTGCAGATGGGATGTGGGCAAGACTCACGATGGAGGAAGAATATTCCATAGACTGTTAATCTGAGGGTGATAGAAGAATCCCTGTCGAAGGGGACACTGAAAAAAATAAGAGGAATGCTACATTGTCCCTGACCCTACTGAAAGAGAACGTTACTTCCCTGAGATATCTGTCTTACTCACTTCAGTGACAACAAATATTGTGTAGTCACATAGATGTTGGTGCATCTCTTACACAGCACCACAGCTAACTGGAGTTTTCTCTTACTACAGGCCAGTGCAGGGCTGGCCGTACTACAGAGACAAAATACCACAAGCACTTGCCTCCACTCTGTGAGTATCTTGGAGAAAGGAGTATTGCCTCCACTGTGGAGGAGGGCCTTGAGGCCACTTTACCTTTCATTAGCTGACCGAGATTCCCCGTATTCCAAATCCCAATCCCTAGCCTGCAGCTTTATTTATTTATTTGTACTTTAGACTTATTATACCACCCTAACCCTGGAGGGTCTCTGGGCTGTTTACATGCTACATTCTAAGAACGTTGACACCTAACTTGGGCCACATGTTTTCTGGGGAGGGGCAGCCTACCGGCACCCAGGTGGTGGCTCCTTGTTGTTGATGTTCTTTGTTGTTGTTGTTTTGTGCTTTGGTACTCAGCAGTTCCTTTTGGTACTTATTTAGTGGTGAAATTGAGATCTTAATATGTTAGCGATGGCTTCCCAGGAATCTAGAAGCGGAACTTAGGTCAGATTAATTAATGTGCAGCAAAATAATGTGATAGTTAAACGACTGATACTGAAAACACAAAATTAGAAAATAGTATCCCAGTTCAAAGTCATTTAGTATGTCATACTGTTGAACAATACAACACATACAAGCAAGGAAGGAGGAGCTTAACAGTGCAATCCTATGCAGAATTACTCCACTCTGAGCCCACTGAGAAACTCTGTATAGGATTGTACTTACTTAATAAAGGCAACAAAATGGCTAGCCTTGTGATAGTGTAGCTGGCCAGCATAAAGATCATCAAAGTTATATGGAAATACCATTTGAGACTGCACAGCTCTAAGAAAGCTCTACTCAAAGAAGGTGCTTCAGTACCAGAGGGAGCGTAGCATTGATTAGCCCATAGTAGAAACTGTCAGTGAAACACCCCTTGATTGCACTCATGTCCTCTCTCATTTCTACCTGGTCCCATAGACAGATAACATTTACATTTCGCAGAAAAGCTAAGAAATAAGAAAAGCAACTGGAAGATTCATAAACTGTACTATCAGTTTTCATAGATCAGAGATACTGAAGAATGAGACATAATGAAAACCTGAAACTGGAGCTGCTACACCAACCATCAGAATACAAATGCCCAAAGACACGAAGCATTGAGGTCACAGAGGCAGAGATCGGGGGATTACAGCTAGAACTCACTTGGCATTGTAAAATCAGAGATAATTGTACGGTTTAGATGCAACAGTTGACAAAAAGAGTTTTATGAAAATAGGGGGGGAAAGATGGCCAATTGCCATGTATAGATATCACTGAGTTTAGCCAGCTCACTGGATCTGGCACCTATTTACAACTAAGTAAACAAGACTTGGGTCATTTAGATTGAGATCAAGCAAGACTAAAGGTCACAGCCTTTCACAAGGACACTGAACCCAAACTTTTCAGCTTAAGGAAAGAGTTCTTTCTATCTTCCCACAAGTGTTGTGTTTCCATATGAGCCTGATCTATTCTCCTCCCAATCACCAAAATGCTTAGAAGAATGACTTCCACAGAAAAGCAGGACAAGAGCTCCTGTAAAAAAGGACAATTCTTACTTTCATACTCTTAAAAAACATGCCAGGGTGGGGGAAGTGTGCCTCAGATATCTAAAAACTGGGCAACACTGACTTTACAGTGTAATCCTATGGCCACTTTCCTGGGAATAAAACCCACTGAACAGACTTGAAGTCAGAATAGACAGCTCCCTTGGTTCTCTAACACATCCTCAACAGAAGACTTGAACTTTCGTTACAAGCCAATGAGACAGGAAATATCACAAGCTTGTTAAGCAATTCATTCCAGTGCTTGATTAGACATTTTTTCTTAATGTTTAGTTTTACCTCTATGATTTTACACCCAGGCAGAGGTAGTGAAGTATTATCACATTGAAAAACATATCACACATCTGAGCAAGAAAATGCAAGTTTGGTAAGGGGAAATAACAATCTCATTCTTAAACATGAAAAAGTATAGTATTTGTAATAAAGCACTGCTTTTCAACCCACAGCCACTCCATTGCTGGAATTTTTGCTTTATGTGGCTTGGGCCTCCACATATTATTTAAATTAGGCACAGTGAAGACTGTCCAGAAATTTTTCTAAGCGTTTTGCTACCTTTCCAAACCTGCAAGAAGATTAAGAGGAGAGCAGCTCTGGGGATCATTCTTCCTCAGAAATCTTGCCAACAGACCACTAAAAACAGGTACTGCATCAAGGGGTACTCTGGTATGCTGGGGGGGGGGGATCTAAGTGCTGTTTGGCCATAGAGACCAAAAATGAGTCTGGGAGTGGCTAGAAGGCCAGCAGTGGTCAGACTTCTAGGACAAGGGACTATGTATGACATGGGAGGACAAATATGCAAGTATATATTAATCTCCATGGTAAAGACCATTCATAAATAGTACGGCATTAGAACAGCAATTCTTCACAGCTAGTGAATTTGGAAGTCCCAATAATGATATCCCCCTCTGTTAATTTCTGAGAAAGGATATGTTTAGCCTAGCCCCTTGCAAAGAAGAAGAGATTGGATTTATACCCCAGTCTCAGAGCAGTTTACAATCTCCTTTCCCTTCCCCTCCCCACAACAAACACCCTGTGAGGTAGGTGGGGCTGAGAGAGCTCTTTCGAGAATTTGTAACTGACCCAAGGTCATACCAGCAGCTACATGTGGAGGGGTGGGGAATCAAATCTGGTTCTCCCAGATTAGAGTCTATGCGCTTAACCATTACACCAAACTGGCTCTCCAAGAGTACCAAAGTACTCTCCAAGAGAAGTTAACAGATACATCTGTCAATCAAACTGCAAATTAGGTCCCATTCAATGGAAGAAGGAAGTGCTAGGGATCTGTTTCATTCAGTTTATTTCCTTTCTATCCCATTCTTCCTCCAAGCAGCTCCATGGCATTATTCATACAGCTTTTCTACAGCAACCCTGTGAGGCAGATGAGGCTGAAAGAAAGGAGCCCAAGGACACACTGTGAGTTCAAAGGCTAACCAGATTTGAACTTGGGACTCTTCTATCCAAATCCAGCACTCTGTGCCCTACACCACTCTGGGTCTCTCTAGCAAGTTGCAATAGGACAGCTTGGGCAGCTGGTTGTGAATGGGAAAAAATGTAAAGCACTTTGTAAAACTGGAAAGTGCTATAGCAAAGTTTATTCTTGTTTGTCCTAGAATCTGAAAATGTAGGCGGCCTCTCACATGATTCTGTTTGGAAGGTTTTCACACACAAAAATGCAGCTTTTATCATACAGGGCTTCCAAATGAAAGTGCAACACATCTTTGCCTAAAGGACTCATCATCCAGATCCAAACTTACAACAGACTTAATAAATACCAGGCACAATCCATTATACTGACTTGTTCAGCAATCTGACAAAAGGAGTTGTATATAGAACTTCTCCAATGCACTTCATTAAAAAATAATAATTCTGCTTATTCTGGTTGCAAACTATCCTAACATTTCTTAAAGAGCAGGATGTGCGTGCACATGTGCATATTTATTATGTGTATTTGCCTTACACAACTTTCAAAATGCAAACACTTCCATTTTTTTTGGTCCACAAATTAAGCTGGGTTTGTTTTCCTCCCAAAATAGTGAATTTCCATGAAATGCCCATGTTTTCCTCATCTGCCCACTAAGCAACCCTATGCATATCAGGCCACAACACACCCAGCCTTATCAATCATACATGCTGCTGCTTCTCAAATACTTGTTTAAAAATTAGTTACCACCAGGGCTCCCCCCCCCCCGCAAAAGAGTGCTGGAACTCTCAAAAGGGAAATTTTCCCTTTTTCAATCTGTATACTGAAAACTCATGAACTTTAAAACATTTTAAAAAGAGTTTTGGCAGTTCTGGAACTCTGTTCCGGTGCGTTCCCCCCGAAAAAAAGCCCTGGTTACTACAAAACATTTCACGAGTATATAACCACAATTGTTCTAAAATATTCATGTTGCAAAACTGTTATCCTTTTTTTTTTTAAATCTTGACTGAGGTTATAAAAATAAATATTCTACTAACTGGAAGTTTGGAAAAGGCCTGAAGCCTTGGATAACTTCCCTATACTCTTGGTTGTTGGGTCTGATGCCCTAAAAACTCAGGGAAAGCTCACTTGCCACTAAGGGCTTGGTTTTAAGTACGGCTGCTCACAGAGCAAGTGCTTTCTAGTTCTCCCTAAGGAGCAAGGATCTTCCTCTGGATCCAAACGACGTCTCATCCTTCAGATCTCCTTTTCCAGTAGACCGCATAAAAGGATGCACAGATGGTAGTTCTGATTCCATGCTGAATGTGACGGAAGCCAGCAAGGCAAGTCAACTGCTTCCATCAGTTCTTTTCCAACAGGCAATGATTCCTAATGCCAGAGCAAAGAGATGACGCTGGCTCTAATGAAGGTGGCTCAGATCCCACGTATTCCTTCCATCAGCAGCTTTTTGGATTGGCTCTGAATGCCGGGCAACTTAGTAAATGTGGTGGGAAATACAGCTGTAAATGAGAATGGAGGGTGATGGAAGCCACATCTCCTAGCTCTGATGCGCAGGCCTTTAGAATTTTGATTCCTTGTACGGTGGTACAATGCTGGTCTGAGGTGCCTCTCCCAGAGTCTTCTGAAAATCAGAGGGAAAAAAGGGGCACAGTTAGAGGTAACAAATGATCATGGGCTTGACTGAAGCAGGGGGCATGAAGTTGGTGGCACACACTCCTGGGAAAAACAGCAGGCCCTGCTTAGTGTTCAAATATGTCCCAAAAGGAAAGCAGAGATCCCAAGACAGAATATGTGGAATAAATTAATTGCTGCTCAAGAAGAGTTATTATAAAGCAAAGCCAGTATAAGCTGTAGGTTTTATACTCATCTAATGGTCATGGCTTCCCCCAAATAATCCTGGGAATTTTAACTTGGCCCCAGCTCTAAGAACTCTGTGTTGGATCCTTAGCCCCACCTTGCCTCCCAAGAACTAAAACTGTAGGGATCCCCAAGAACAGTGTATACATTATTAATCCAGCTAAGGTTGTAGGGAAGGTACGTTCTAAAATAACTTGTTCTGGGCTCAATGGAACACAGGACACTGGAGGCACGGCACAGAACCAAAGAAGGCTGCTGCAATCATCCTTGCATTGTTGATGTGCCAGAAACAGATGCCATGTTAAATTTAGCCTACATAGTGACACTGATACATCCTATCCACAGACCGGATTCTTTCAAAATGCCACACATCTTTCCATCCCTCCTAGACATGTCTGAAAGGCAAGTGGCACCAAAAACAAATATTTGTTCATGAATAGACATGAACCAAGCTTCTTGTCATGTTCACTTGCTTGCTCCTACCTCACCTCATGGATGAAGCATGACTGAAGGCTTTCTAGCTTCCAGAGTCTTCACTGAAACTTCCCATTTTCTGGGACTTTCAAATGCAGATGCCTAGACCAACCGGGGTTTAAAACATAGTCTCATTTTGTAGGAAATAAACAAAGTATATGTATATGTGAAGCTGTCTTATACCACAGTCAGACCCCTAACTTAGCATTGTCCAGACTGATCAGCTGTGACTATGCTGAGAAAGTTCTTTCCCAACACTTGCAACCTGCGTTCCTTTAACTAGGGATGATGAGGACTGAACCAGAGACCTTATGGCAGCAAAGCCTGCTTTCTGTCGCCAAGTTACAGCTCCTTGAATTGGTCCACGCCCCTGTGTTCATGTTTCACAGCAATTTGAAGTTTAAAGGCATCCAAATCCAGGAAGTGTTCAATCATGTTCCATGCATAAGGGGGAGTGCATGCCAGTCACAAACCTCTGTTTGATCATGATGTTTGAAACACAGTCACAGATTGCTGACAAAATTGCTCATGTGCATGAAGTCTTTCTTCTCTCCCAAAACAAGAATCATTTGGGCATTCACAAATAAAATATATTTTTAAAGAAGATAAATCAATTTATAGCAATAATATACAAAATCTGTTTTAGAGACTGAAGGGCACTATGCTTAGCTGAGCAGAAGTATTAATCTCCATCTGTTTTCTCACAAGTCAGGATTTGGGGAACCAAGCATTACTTTATCACATGGTCGTAAAATTTCACAACTGTGACAGAATAAGTGCCAAAAATGCCTGTGGACAAACAGCCACCAGCTAGGAACTATTGCTTAGGTGCTGAAACTCAGTTCAAGCTTTAAAAGGCTAGAGCATATTGTTTTTTATTGCCTCAGCCTGGCCCCTGATGTGGCCTTCCTTTTTATAAAAATAATAATGCTTTTGTTGCCTTATCATAGCTCTGCCATTTAGATGCATCATTTATGACAAAGAACACAGTGCTTAGTGAAGAAGTAATATGGCATTACTATAGACATTTAGTGGCTTGCAGCACATGACCAGTGACCCAGACAGTAACTAGCAGAAGAATGTACATTAGCACTCCTAGAAATTGCTGAGGGACAAGACAGAACTCAGTGCAATTACTGATTTATTTTGCATAGCATCTCTTGCTTAAAGAAACATCAGATGTTTAAGAGATTGTCACACTGGAAATGGCAGCTATGTCAAATGAAGCAGAGGGAAAGGCTCTTGCCCAGGAGGTGTTTAGGAACAAAAAGGCTTAGAAGCAGATCTATTAGAATACAGCAGAAATAACAGGGTGGCTAGAATACAGATGGAGGGAAAATTGTTTTTAAGACTGCTAAATATTTCATGCATTTGCATTTATTTATATCCTGTTTTTCTCCCCATCTGGGACTCAAAGCACCTCTGAACATCATTCTCTTCTCCTCCATCCTCTCACAACAACCCTGTGAGGTAGAGCAGGCTGAGAGTATGTGACAAGCCCATAGTCACCTAGAGAATTTCCATGGTACAAGTGGGGATTCAGAGTCAGGTCACCCAGGTTCCTAGTCCACTACTCTACCCACTATACCACACTGGCTCTCAATATTGCTCTTTTTATCCAGTTCCATAAACAAGCAAGTCCAAATTTGCTTACCCTACATTTTAGCTACTAGGGCAAAAAGGAGGATTAAAACTAAGAGATTCGTCAAGATATATTGTCAGAAATGGAAGGGCAGGCAGTACAAACAAATGAACCATGACATGCAGCAAGCTCATACAGAGAAACCAGCCACCTCATTCTGTGCCAGTTACCCACTGTACGTTATAAAACCAGCCACCTCACTGCCCCCACAGTCAGAATGAAGACGCAGACGCAAGGTATGGATTTAACAAGAGCCACTTTATTAAATATTTATAACTGAACCCGGCAAGGGGATGCCTATTAGTGCAGAAAGAGCAGAGCAGGTATCAACACCTGCCACCTCCCTGCCCTCAACTGGGTGAGACACCTGCCCTAATCTCGAGCCATATGTTTTGTCTCTCAATCAGTGGCCTGGCATATTGGTAGCGGCCCTGGCCTGCCACCCCTGAAGCTGCGCAGCTTACAAGGATCAGCCAAAGCCCTGGGTGCTCCAAAGCCAGACCCCCACCATTCCCAGTCCTAAGCCGCAAGGCCCGAAGGCCGTTCCTGATGGGCCCCTTATTTCTCATGGGAAATGCCCTGGTGCTCACCATTTCTGCTCTCCAACCAGCACTACACCACCACAGCCAAGTCCAAGCCTCTGCTCAGGACTTTGCCCCCACCTGGCAGCCCCAAGGCCGCCCGCACCCCTCGCTGTAAATCCTTAAGAAAAATACCATTGCCCTTGTCGTTTAAGTGCACCCCTTCTGTCCGATAAAGGTCAGGAACATCGACCCATATATCAGGGCGCATCAAGAAAAAACCCAAGCCACCCTCCATGGCATTCTGCAGCTGGCGATTAGCGTTCCACCTACCTCAGTCCAAACATCTGGGGTCTCCGATACTGTGCCACCCCTTTGCTTGGCAACATCACAGACAAGACAATCTGCACCTCCGGCCACCACTGTTTAATGGTAGCCAAATCAGATTTTACCTGGATAACTAGGGCCTTGCCCTTCATCAACCCCAGGTCGTTACCCCCAGGTGTATCAATAACTTGTGTGGAGGAGGACCACACCTTTCCTTGCACAATATTGGAAGGAGCCAAGGCCAACGCATGCCCCTCCGGCCCAACCAATCAACATCAGCCATCTCACTAAGACCCAGCTGGGACCCAACAGCCATCCTCTGGGCCCAGTGAGCAGCCCAAAACACTATGCTGTGGCCACAGATGGTGATTCTTCTTTTCACCCAGTGGCTGTCAGCACCTGAAACAAAAACTGCATTAACCAATGCAACCAACAAGTATTAAACTTTACATTTCCAAACATACATTTTATAACATGGAGACCTCCACCTGCCAATTTTCTGAATCTCTGCTACTGGGTACCCCATGGCCGCTGCTGTAGAAGCAGCTCCTATTCTAAAAGATTGGGGGCCAAATTGCAACCCGCCTAAACCCAAAGCTTCCAAAGCGTGCTCAGTAATCGCCCCAAGTTGGAACTGAGTGAGAGGGGTACCATCCCTACACTAGAACAGCAAACCAGGGCTTCTGCCTCTGCAGGCCAAATAGTGGCACAGCGCTGTGACTGGGCATAAGTCTGAGCAAGTACCCAACTCTATAACTGCCCCTTTCTGTAACTGATCAGTTTTGGAGCACCTGACTATAAGTCGCACTCCAGTTGCCCCAACCTAGACATCCTTGAATAATAAGGCAGTGTAATGTATTCAATAGCTGCCATTGAAAGCATGATGTATGTGAAACATCTAATTGACTTGCCATGTTGAGCTTCGTCCTGGGCTAGGATCCAAATCCATCCAATCGCATTGCTAGCCCAGAAAGCACCTAGCCAATCACTTTACAGCAAGCTCCCTGAGCGGGAACGTCCGTGATTGGTCCTTATATGAACAACCGTATTGGTTGGTATTTGTACAGTGGGTGTGGCTACATTAGCCGGGAGAGTTTAAAAGCAGGAAAACTGCAATGTAAAAGCTGAACTGTTCTGTTCTGGCTATCTGATGTTGATCCGTGTTGGAGTTGTGTTCGAGTTGAAGAATAAAGTTGTGTTCTTGCTGAATCACTCTCCAACTTCTTTGTTAAGCGAGCGACTTAACAGGGAGAACCTGACACGTCCCAGTGGGAGCTGGCCACCAGCTCACTAACCCTGAGCACCCCAAAAAAGGCCAGCAAAGAAGCAGCATGGAAAAGAGAGGCCCATCAGGCCTTCAAACCTCTCAGGATAGAAAGGGAAAAGGGTTCCCTTCGATCCTGCGGTGTGCCATCTTCCCTAGCCCAGCCGTCAAGTATCTTCTGATTTCAGAAGTTGCCCGTATCGTTCTTCCAACTGCCGGCCTTGCTTGCAAAAGCAAGTGCTGACAGTTTACCCCTAATTGAATGGACTGGCATAACCTCACCTTTCAGACTCATGCAGAATTGAATCACATGGGAGAACAGAATGGGCCACGTCTGGTGAAGCCCCGCTAGCCACCTAAAGGTGACAAACTGCTGGCCTGCCCTCTTGCAAGCTTTCCTGGTACAAGGTGCAAGGGCTAAGCCCACTGCCCTCTCGGCCTCAGCCCTTCAATTCCCCACAGGTCCACCAGCATACTTACTTGGCAAGGGTCCGCTTTTGGAGCTAGCTGACAGAATCTTTCCATCTGTTTTCGAG